CCAATATGGCATGCTCTACAGTGACAAGAAACCCATATGATATTATACAGCATGTTGTCAGAATATGTCACACACAGCTTTTCACTAATGACATTACCAGTATTATTCCTAATGGTTTGAACACAGAAAAACCTGCTAGAAATGCCTGAGTTATTGTCATAACTCTGACATTGGGAACCTTTGTGCAAGTCACTTCAATTCTCTGCCGCAATCTCTTTTGTAAAATGTGGTATTTTATCTAGTGTAACACACCCTGACTTGGTGATAAATGCATGTGGGTGATGTAGGTGTATGCCAATACCACCACCCACACAGATAAGGCATTCATTAGGAGTGTGGAAGGCCAACACCACATACGCTTAAAACTCTTCCCTTGACTCCAGGAATGGAGCTGACTAAATCTGAATTGGAGGGTAAGATGTAGGGTTTTGAAACTGAAATATCTGAGAGAGTCTCAAAACTGAAACAGAGAAAAGACAAGAGCACTGTGATGTGTATTGTCATTTTTCCCACTTACTTAGGAGTAAAAAGAAAAAAGGCTACCTGCTGCCTTGGCCTGGAATTTCAAATACCCCTCTCCCAAAGGATCATCCCTCTTTTACATAGATTATGGGACACCATGAAAAATAAACTGAACATACATTTGCCAAACTAATCAACTGTAAATGTAGGTATATGTTCTTGCTTTTTTCTCCCTTTTTCCATTTTATTTTTATTTTTTCTGATTATCTCTTCTACTCCTCCTTTTAATTTTCTTCTCTCTCTACTTGCTTCTAGGGTGGCCATCTTGGAGGACAGTCCAGTTGTCCTCTACTGATACAAAACCGGACACCTTTATGTCCTCTATTTTTCTCTTGAAGAGAATTTTTTTCCAATTTTTCTCTTGAAGAGAGAAATAGAGGACATAAAGACGTCGGCTTTCACATCAATAGAGGACAGAGGATTAGAAAATTGGAATGTGCTCTATGATGGCCACCTTACTTGCTTCTATCTTCCTACCATCCTGTCTATACATCCATATTTTATTTATTCCATTTTCTGTCCCTTTCCATATTTTATTTATTCCATTTTTCTCTCCCTTTCTCTTTCTTTGAAAAGAATGTTCTTCTTTACACGAACTGGTAGATCATCTTTTCTTGTAATCTTTTCATTCCCCTCCATCCCTCTATTATCTCCCTCACTCCTGTATTTAACTTCATTTGTTGTGCATTCCTGACTCCACTGCTGCCTATAGCAAACTGTTGTCCCATTCTTACTGTCCCATCCCTTGTATTTTATGCTTTCCTTTTAGCCATAGTTATTTCTTTCAATCCACAACACAGTTGCTACACTTTTCCACTCTTCCCTTTTTTCTTTGTCCCTATGATTTGTCTCTACCTGCAAAGAATGTTCTCTCTCTAACGTTAATGTACCCCACCCTAGTGGTGTGGGCACTGGGGCGACTGGCTGGAAGCCGAGTGTTTAAGGCCATAACAGAAGTGCACATGACGTGGCCCTGGTAGACTCCAATGAATCTGCAAATTCTGCTAAACACCTTGTCACACAAGGACACAAGAAAGGAAAGGAATCTCTTCTCCACTGTCTAAGCCCTATTCATTACTATTAAATTCTAATAGCTCCGAAGATATCCTTCCAATTGCCACTAGTTGCTGAAGTTGTCCCCAACTGCCGTCAATGATTTACCAGCTGCCATAGACTTCCCTCCCCAATTGCCACCATTCATCTCCTGTGTTCAGCTACCACTGTCACCATAGCTTTCCCATCCACTCCTACCATGAAATGCCACCTGAAGTACTCTGACAAGTTCTTCAGCTACCGCAGGTGTTCCTCCAAAAGATCGGCAGCAGTGGCCACATTCATCCTCTAGCTGTAACTACAACAGATTTCTTTCCACCTTTCACAGATACACCTCTCACAGGTTTCCCACCAATTACCGTAGATATGCCACTAACTCTGCCCCGTGCAGCCAGAGGTATCCCACAGGTTTCCACTGTTAACAGCTGCCAAAGCTTTCTCTCCAAATGCTATCAGATATATCATGAGTGTTCCTCCTACTCAGTCACCAACTGCCATGGTTTGTGCTTCAGCTGCTACAGGAGTTGCTTCAACTCTGACACCAGTTGCCACCAATATTCTTCCCATTGACACAAGCTGTTCCCAGCTGCCCTTTGTATCCAGTTTCCATCGTCTCCGACTGCTTGTGTCATCGCTTCAAGTGTTGTAACTGCTGTGGTGCCCCCTGCTAAACTTCCCTACACCCCCATTCACTGCCACCAACCTCAAATCACACTCTTGTTCTCAGATAACACATTAGATATGACTTTTTTCTAAGCTGCCTTACTGGCATATTTATGAGGGCCAGAAGCTGCATGTTCTCGGCTGAATAAGCAGGCTTGCTGGGGCATTACCAGTGGAAGCTGTCATATTTCTTTTCGCTGATCTTCTAATATCGTAGTCTGTAGTCATCCAAAACCTGCAGAGGTAATTCATTTTAATACAAAAATCTGCCACAGCACTAATTTATGGCTATGCTGATTCTAATGAAAGTGCATGAGTTTATTATTATGCCTTTCCTTTTCATGGTGTCATTTATGGTGCTTTGTTTTGTTCCAGTTTCTCTACATTATCATAGTGATTGTCCCCACAAATAACGGTCCCCACATGCCAGTCCCTACTTTATCCGAGTGTGATAGTCTTTTGCCTCTGTACATCTTTAAAGTACAATACAAAACTTCTGCTGAATACAAGGTGGAGTATTAGAATCAAAGTTTTCCATCCATTAAAATCTTTAGAACAACATGGCAGGAGTGTCTTGCTGTGCAACTGCCCGGCAATGAAAAACAAAAGGAGGTGAACTGAAGAAACTGGGTGCCAGTTTCATGTTTGTGAAAATATGTGTGTGGCAACTACTAGATCCAAAATGTGATGACTGAGAACCCAGAACCAAAAGAGGGAATGCTGTTTCTCCAGCATCGGTTATAGTCTCTCCCCCTTTATCAGATTTCTCTTATCCAGAATATTTTGCTCTGGCTGGCTCTGAACTGATTTTCAGTATTTCTTCTTGTGCTATTGTTCTTGGTTTTATCTTTTCCACAGACTTTAATGGGACCGATAGAGGAGTCAGATAAATTTTCTCATCACAGATGTTTCTGACCTGTAACTTTCAAGGCTATCCTTAAATGTATTCAAATTTAGCCTTGCCATGTTTCAGTATAGACTGTATTTAGGGCCAAGTTACTGACAATCTTCTAAAAACCTAAATAGTCAGGTTTCCATGCCAGAAAACCACAATCAATGTCAAAACTGATTTTGAAAAGTTATTTGTTCAGTTCCTATCTACCTCATTCATATTTGCTTGTATTTTAGTGACTGCCTCTCATGCTACAGTAGGGAAAGTTGGACAAAAGTGTATGGGTGTTTATGTGTGCATTCACACGTTCTTCATATAAACAGCACAGACCATTCATCTCTGCTTTGCATGCTATGACACCGATTTAACACTGAAAGAGAGAAAATGTCTTTAAAGCTGCTATAGCAGAGGTTGTCAAACTGTGGTCCGCGAGCTGTACTCAGGTGGTCTGAAGAAAGGTTGCCGAACAATCGAGACTATCTGTACTTATAAAGGTAAGACTACTGATAATAAATTATGAGTTTTGCACTTTGATTTGTAGAACAAAAAAAAGTCAAGTAGTCCACCAAGACCCTCAGCAATTTTCAAGTGGTCTGCAAAAAAAGTATGTTTCAGAACCACTGTGCTATCGGGCCCAGTGATGTAGGGCCTTGCCGATGGTCTGGGTACTGCATGCTGTCAAAACCTAGAGCATCTTTCCCTGTTGTAATATGGGTGAAAAGCCCGGCTCCACGGGGATGTAGACAGGCTCTGTGCACTCTGTTTTAATGGGCACTGGACGCCTGTCCCTGAGGGGAGAGCTCTGCCTGGTATAAGGATCTGGGGCTTTCGGTCAATACAAGGCTCACATCAGGTGGGCATCCATGCTCTTCTTTACGGAGCCATTCAGCTACGGCATCAGGAACTCGGTCCCTTACGAGCACCAGTGTCTCTTGTCTTCCTAATCATGGCCCTTGAACCCTGGGGTCCGGCTTGGTGAGAGCCCCATGGATTAGGACACACTGAGGCCCTAAGCTATGTCCATCTTGAGAGGCACCGTACGATAAAAATAATCCATGAAAACGGATTTCCGTGACACTTCATGACAAATCGTTATTTCTGCACAAACGAAGGAACTCAACATGCATAATAACTGTAGAGCCGCCAACATCTATATTTTTGGTCCTATTAAAATGAAAACGTCCAGGTTTTTTTTTTTTTTTT